TTTTTATGTATAATATTTGCACGGAGCAGAAGATTAGTAACACTTTTTAACATATTTTAAATCCTGTTTGCACAAAAAAGACGTTCTAATTACATCGATGATTTCTAATAACTGATTAAACGAGTCAATGAATTTATCTGATAAGCATACTAAAAATTTTGAAGAAAGCCGTTTTTTTTTTTTAATTTTGACTGAAATACATCTCTTATCGTTGTTTCTTTGCATACTAAATTGTTAATCCTTCCAATGAATGAAGCAATCATGCTATTACTAATCGATTAATGATAATCAGTAGCCCATGAAAAGGTTAAAGGTTATTTTCATCTAGAGATGAAAATTTCTAGTTGAAGTTTTCATCTCTAAATGAAAATAACCTTTAACTAATAAAGTAAATTGATTGAAATAAATTTCAACACCATTGGGAGTATATCATCAACAAAAAGGTCGATATCAACCAATGTTTCGTCGTAATATCATGTTATCAAACAGACGGAATCCTTTTTGGCGTAGGCAACAATTTTTTCGATAGGCAATAATTAATGATGTTAAAATTATACGATTCTCATCTTTTTCATTTTACTTTTTAAAAGGATTTCGAATGTCTTTTTTTCGTATTTTTTCCGAGCACCATTTCTCTTATTCATTTTATATAACTTCACTTTTTTTAAATGTTCGTTAATATACTAAAAGATTTTTAAATACTCGGTATTTAAAAAAGTATGATATGAATGAAAGTATTTTTGTAATTGAAATAAAGTCTATTATTGCAATAAGAGATGTAACACAAAATTTAGTGAGTAATATGGTATATGAGATCAAGGTTAGAGTGGTTTGATAACGTTTATTAAATGTCTAAAATTGAAATTAAAACGGAAACAACAGTTAAATTGAAATTGAAATTTTCAGGATTCTAAGCACTTATTAAAATATTGAACGACAAGAAGGAAAAAGCGTAAAAATAGTGCTTGCTTACCCGGTCCACAGTTTAGATCAATTCATCTGCATTATGTATTTGACAATTCGGATAATCCATAATCAAAAATGATAAATTTGAGTGAAATATCTAGATCAATCAATATGATTAATGAAGTAAACATATTATTATTAAATAATAGCATTTTGAGAATAACTTTTGTGGAAATTAAACCACAATAATTCATAAAAATTTAAAAAAGATTGATTTAGCTATTATCAAAATGAATTGAATGACAAACAAAATTTGGAATAATTTGGATATATTTGAAATATGACAAGCATTTCAAATATATCTAAACTTTCCCAATTTTGGTGGAATGAAACTCAGAAAATAGAAACATTTTGAAAAAGAATGTACAATTTTGATGGAATGGGACGATCAAACAATTTTGTTAGATCATAGCTTCATTATTTTAAGACACACTTTATTATCAAAATTTCTGGTCCAAATCAATCAATAAATTGATGGCGCTTTAAGACTTCACAAAGATTGATCTCACATTCAGAATTCCCTCTGTCCGGTATTAACAAAAGCGATGAAAACATTTCGTTAATAATAAAGGATGAAATATCTTTATTCTACAAAATATCAGAAATCTCAGATTTCTGGACAGTTTTTGTGCTTTGTCTCTCTGCAGTTGGGTGTAAAAAACTCATCCTTTGTTTTTCTGGAAATAATCTCTCTTTTCAATCTTTGTCATGATTTTATTTTTTGAACTGTTTTTTTGATATCTTTGATTTATCAGTCCTGATTTGCTCTATTGTCAATGGAGAATTTTCGAAATGATCAATGTATTGATTTTTGTTTCCAATTTTATATTCCTTCGATCGTTTCTCTTTCAATCCAATATTAATTTTGCGCAATTTTCTGGATTCTTTTTTCAATGCAAAATTCGTCATTGTTGGAATCACTGTCCAAATTCCTGCAAAATTAAGCTAGCAAATTAACTTTCAGATAATTCTATAATCATTTAATATTTTTCGGGAGCTATCGTATGTTTCAGAATTAATATGAAATTGCTAATGAGAATTCTTTTTAACAAAAGGCTTTTGACTAAATTTAGCTAGAAAAGGTTTATTCTTCAAGAAATTATGTTTCATTAACTTTTTCAATATAAATTTCTTTTTTAGTTTATTTTAGATTTTCTCAAAAGAAAGAAATCTTTCAAAGGATGATAAATTTTTATTAGTCGGTGTGAAATTTGTCAATTTGGACGACACTTATCTTCTTACTATAATTCTGTCATTCTGTCAAAATGAATTAAAAATATCGAATCAAAATTTATTAAATGATCAAATGTGCAAACAGACTGTTAACTCTATCATTTCCATTATTCTCCTTTCCGTATTTGCTGAACATTTTGATATTTTGTTGGAATTTGTCGTCTGTCAACATACTTGTTTCCCATTTTTCATCACTTTCAATTTCTCTGTAATTCTTTTTTGAAAATCGTTTTCTCTCAGCTATTACAAATTTAGCGATGTTATGTTTTGGCGTTTTTGACTTCATGAACTTCTTTGCTTTCGAAGCATTTTGAGCAGCAATTATCCAATTATTGGGTGAAAATTCTTCCCATTTCGAAATCGACGATTTTTTATCCGTTTGTCTCAACGATTTTACAAAAAAATTATTCGAATGAAATGGCGGTGAAAAATTCCGCCTTCTATTTTCAGCTTGAGAACGAATATCTCCTGGAATGATCTCCGTCATAATTTTCTGATTCTTAGTAAAAAAATGGGTGGGATATTTCGTTGAAACGACAGTTTCATCTACGGGCGATGAAATTGGAAATGCTTTAGGATAGAATTTAAAATGATATTTTTCAAAATTTTTAAGGGGATCATCAAAACTGATCAATTTTTTTTTATCTTCGCCAATCGTTTTCTGCGCAATTTGCGTGGGAGTATTTGTGTTAGTTTTGAGTGATGTCTGTGTTAGTGGAATTGAGATTTTCAATGGTACATCAGTGAAGAATGAGGGATCATTGTGAATACTATTTCCTTCCACAGCTATAATTGATGGCTTCAATTCTGTTTCATCATCAATACTATCAATATCTTCTTCGTACTTATCGAAGACTGAAGCATCCACTTCGATTGGTTCATTTCCTCTCACTTTCAAATAATCTTTTGAAAAAAATGCTGCTGCATTATCATTTCGTACCTTCCAAGATTCCGCAATTCGAGACGTTTCATTGGGAGCATCTACGACAAAAGGATTCCGGTAAATTTCCATTTCCTTATGTTTTGTGTGTCTCGATTCTGGAATTTGCACTGTCGAATTATAGTTATTCATAAAGTCTTCGTTAACATCCTGGCTTCTTGATAGCGACGTTATATTGCCATCAACTTGTCCGCAATTGAAAAGTGCTAATTCATAGAGGTAATAATTCAGCAAACTTTCGATAGCTCTCTCCTCTCTCATACTTATGGCTTCTAATTCTGAATATTTTGGTTCGGTATTGGTATTTATGCTCAAGTCCAACTTTTTTACCAATTTAGCAATAACTGATTTTAGAAAACCATATTGCATTTTAAGATTTGTTTTGTCATTAGATTCTCGTAAAGTGCGATCCTCGTGCTTTATCTGTAAAGAATTCTCTTTTTACTTACATATGAAAATATGTTTGAAATAATCAAAATCTGAAAATTTCATTGCACTTACAGCTTTATCATTAAATTTGGTGATATTGTCAAAGTCCTTCTCGTCGTGTATGACAGTATAATATACACCTGATGCTGCTGTATCTTCCATGTGCTTCGATGATAATCTGAAATCGATCTAGAATCTACTGCTATCTTCATTCTTTTCATACTATCAATATTATTTGTCATCATTAATGAAAGTTATTGTCAGTAAGTACTCAAAAAACACTATTGTCAGTAAATACTCAAAATATTTTCTGTTCTGGTGATAAGATAAAATCCTATAATGTAATATCGGTCAGCTTTGATAAATCATATATATTCAGCTATACAATTATTAAAAGAAAAAGATAACAGAAAACGACTGTCGAAAACCAGAAATTATTTTATAAAAATGTTAATTTTCATGAAAGCACTTTTGTAGAAGTCCAAATATTTTAAATATCTCGTCCAATTAAAAAATGTATGTTGTGTTTATGCAAACTTGTTTGTTTGAGATTATAAATTTTATGATTAATTGCCATTTTTGCTTTTTCAAAATTTTTGTTATCTAATAAATTATAGAAGACAATTCTTATAAATTACAGAAAACAATAAATTATAGAAGACATTCTCCTATCACAAAAGTTTGATTCTCAATTTAATCTCATTTCAGTCTTATCTCTTATCTTATTCCAATTTCTTTCCAAACCTCGATTCCTTATTATTACCAATAAAAATGTCTATGAGTGATTGATTCAATAAACGAGATTTTTCAAAATTGTATCATAACATCAAGAAGAATTAAAACTTTCAATTAAATGAAATAACTCTTCATTATTATGCGACTGTGCAAAATTAAATCTCTCCTAAAACAAAATAAAAATCCACAATAATGATAAAATTTTTAAGGTTTGAAATGGAAGAAGAGGAATTATCGAAGATAATAACTCTAAGGAGATCAAATTTACCTCCTACAATGTCTTCATCCTGTTTTGTGATTAATTGAGCTAATTAATATTTTATTTCAGTGACACATTTTTTATGTGATAATATTTTTTCATTTTAAATATTTCTTGATAAATATTTCTTTGTTTGTATCTCATTTCTTGCTTTATTTGAAAGAATGATAATGATGAATGGTGTTGAAAATCCGAAAATTTGTGATATCAAATTATTCATATCAGCTAAGGTTTGTATCACTGACAGTTAAGCTGAGGAAGCTGTATTTCGCAATTTGTCTTTGTTAGATTTTAAGTATCATTGTTAACTTACTTTGTCAGATGACCTCATTGTGTTGCTTTAATTCAGTAAGAGATTGCCTTATGACGCCTTTGTCCCTTAATTGTTCTTTGTCTCTCATGTGACAAAGTAATCCTACAAAGTTCTTTGACCTCATCGCTTCTTCCCTCTCCAACATGACATTGTCCTGACCTTAGTATTAACCATTAAACCCATTATCTGCTATCCTCGCATTGCCACATTGGGTACATAAGCGGTCAAATATATCATCGAAGTCACTCTCTCTTTCTTCATTCAATCATTTCAGCACCTATCGTCTCACTTCCAACTGCCGTCGAGTCAACTACTGATCATTTCATCTTTGATACTAAATTTGTTCCAATACAATTCCCAACAATAAAATAAATCTCAACAATAGTTTGTTTGTGAATCAACAATAATCAATCTACAACACTTTCACAACAAATGGTGCAGATGGCAATTGGAAGAAAAACGAGATCACTTTTCTCATTTTATCTTATGAAGGTTTGCTAGAAATTTAAAAGTTAGGTTGATTTAAAAAGTAACTGTTTCACCATCATTCGGGCACCAATCAATCATACGATTTTAAATATTAAAAATTGTGCTAGTAACCGAAATGCTATAATTAGTTATTTTATAGAAACGCTTTTGGTCCGAAAAATTTGTTCTTCGAGTATGATTGACTACATTCTATTAAGCTTCATTTTCTTATACTGTAAACTTACTATTTACTACTTTTATCTTTGCGATGAATACCGAGCAACTATTTCTATAATATTTACCTGTTCTTATGTCGGAAATTTCCCGATAATAAATGTTTCAGTCTGATGTGACATTCCGATATTTTCTGATTTATTTCCAAGTGTTTTTGTATTATTAAACTCGTATACTCTGATTGAGATGTTGTCCGCTGACATCTATAACGATAATTAATTGAAGATGGAATAATTTGTCAATAATTGATTGATTGGAAATTAATAAATTCATTATTTACTAACTTCCGTCTGTTACATTGCCAATTCCTTCCATTAATTTTTAGCTTTTACTTGAAGTTTGAATTAAATTTAATGATGTAATAACTAACTGAATTGCAACAGGGCAACATCCGCAATATTTGTAACATTTCTTTTTCATGTCATCCATTTTTTCCCAGCGATTACTTTTATTTGGTACAGATCTCTTCTTCAGGGATAAAT